CGCTCGTTTCCGCCTTCAAAGCGTTCGAGTTTGAGTGTAAAGTTGCTCACACTTTCACCAGTCTAAAACTGCCTTCAAAGTTACGCTTGCACCGGCCAAACATCGCTGGCTTACAAATTCTATTTGGCAAATGGCGGGCCTCTTACTACCAATGAGGGCAAACTCCGTTCAGAATGTTTATAAGTCAAGTAACGGTCCGTCCGCACGTCGTCCGCTCGACGCTTGCGAGCAAACGTGATCGCAATGGCAGAATCTCGAGCGTTGCTGGCGCAGCGGCTTCCGGCAGCGCGTCCTAAGTGGGGATCAGCGCTCGACGTCAGCAAAAACAATTCTCCAAGCTGGCGCAGTGTCTACGAACGGTCGCATGTTTAATAGAGAAATGCTGCAGGTTAGATGTCTTAGAAGAGGTTGATCACGTTGGTTGTAATTAGACGCACTGAAAGTCTTAACCCGTTTGGCGACTTGGTAAAAGGCTGCGGCTTGAAGTTTAGAAGGACCGGCCGCATATACTTTCAAATCATAGAAAGAAGTTTCATCTTTAAGAAACTGCACGTTCATCCGGTCTTTTCGCGTAGCATTTGGGATTTGCTTCTCTTCTAAAGAAAGATGTCTATGTAGTGCAGCTAATAAAATTCTTAGATTGTTAGATTCGAGTTTGCCAACTTAAACTGAAACTAACTATCAACGCAAGATATGAACGGGTCAACTTAAGAAAAGTTAGTGTCCTGTCTGCTTAGCACCAGCTCCCTGGCTACAGTGCTATGTGCTTCGAGGCGAGTCTTCGCGAATGTTGCGAGGGGAAACATTCAAATTTCCAAGAGCAAGTGGGCCTTCACTGGCTCTGAGTGCATTGTTAAAAAGGTTTTTCAACTCCAAGAAATTAAAAGATATCGAATACATTAACTTAAACGGTGTTTGATTAACGCCACCTAGAATAATGAAAGCCCCTCCACATGGTCTCCTTTCTCTCTATGAAACGTCATCAGAATCGGATCGTACTAACCCGGCTATTGGACCCGAGCCCGACCTTCGACGCCCTGATTGGACACGAGCATCAGCCGAACGCTGACACAGAATTCGGGCCCAATCTCAAGCCTCGATCGATCTGACAGTGATGGCACGTGCGGAGGCCTTCTGTTTAGGTAATGTTGGTTTAACCCGCAAGACACTTGGGGGCACGTGGAAATAATGGTATTCACTTTCGGCCGCCTATGCATCGTTCGGAAATCGGTGGCCGTATATACGACAAAATCAGCAAGAACACTGACGATCTACCGTATTTACTCGAGTAATAGCCGCACTGTTTATGAAGAAAACCTGAGTGTTCGCTTTTCCGCGGAGCATGCGGCTTGCCAATCACCGCGATCGGCAGCATGATTCCAGCGCTGTTCAGGACAGAGATAACGTCTTCGCGCGAAGATACCATCTGTGAAGATTGCATCTGTATGGAGAATCGTGTTCTCGATCTACTTATTCGCTATGTTATTTATGCGCAACGCGATGACCGGCTGTATATGTGTTCTGCGGGAAAGCAGACGCTAGGGTCTTGTTGGGTCTTGTTCATAAATATGCGGCTATTACTCGAGTCAATACGGTAATAAGGTTACGTGCCCTACACGGTTTTCTTTTTAGAGCGCAGCTCTTAGGGGCGCGTTCCCGGCTTGAGCGGCGTCGGCGTCGCCGTCGCCGTCGGCGTCGCCGTCGGCGTAACCAACGTCATCCCAAGGTCACTTGACCCCCAAGGTCATCCCAAGGTCACGTGACCCCAAGGTCACCCCAAGGTCACGTGACCCCTCCCCAAGGGTCATCGGGGGTCACGTGACTCCCCAAGGTCACCCCAAGGTCACGTGACCCCTTCCCCAGGGTCACGTGACCCCCGATGACGTCATCAGTGACGTCACTAATAACGTCACCGGCATCCGCATCGTCATCATCACTGATGACGTCACCGGCATCGTCATCGTCATCATCGCTGATGACGACATCAATGACGTCACTGATGACGTCACCGGCATCCGCATCGTCATCGTCATCATCGCTGATGACGTCATCAGTGACGTCGCTGATGACGTCACCGGCATCCGCATCGTCATCGTCATCATCGCTGATGACGTCATCAGTGACGTCACTGATGACGTCACCGGCATCCGCATCGTCATCGTCATCACTGATGACGTCACCGGCATCCGCATCGTCATTGTCATCATCCCTGATGACGTCATCGGTATCCGCATCGTCATCGTTACTGATGACGTCATCCTCTGGGGGTCACGTGACCTAGGGGGGTCACGTGACCCCCACCCAAGGTCACTTGACCCCCCCCAGTACCCTTCCCTCCCCCTCCTCAAGAGCTGCGCTCTAATTCGGCGTTACAGGAAGTTGTAAACGGCTTTCACTTTTTTTGTTACATACATTTCAGAGCATAAATAAAATTTAAAAAATCAAGCAAAAACAATTGCGCGGAGGACTAGTCTTTAACATCCAGCCCATTGGAGGCAGAGGAAGGAGGCAAAACATGTCGGTTGTTTGGGAAGCGCGTGCGAAGTGAAGCCGCCTAGATTGGCATTTAACGAAGACGCAACGCAACGAGTGCGGCGCACAACGCAAGCAACTCGACCCAGCAGCAGCAGCAGCAGCCGCAAGGAGGGCTCCGATTCAGCACGTCGCGAGGCGCAGCCCTCGTGCCGCGACTGCTCCTGTCCCGATCTGCCTGCAGCCTTCCGACGTGGGCCGCCACCGCGAGCGCGTCCCGTCGGCGGTGCGCTGTCTGGGCGCCTGTCCCGGCTTGACAGTTTAATTCGGCGGCCCGAGAGGTAACCCGCCTCTCTTTTAATTATCCATCGGCCGCAGCTGAAGCTGGCGTCCCTGGCCGTGGATTATCCTCTTCTTGCGGCGCGCTGTCACCCGTCGTCGCTCCCCCGCGCAGCAAGGCGCTGTCTCCAGCAACGCAGGAATGCTGTTTGCTTTATCCCCGAGAGAAGCAGCAGCGCTGTATTCGAAACTCCAGAGGTGGTGACGCAACCCAGCGACAAAGATGTGAGGTTTAAAAAAAGAAGAGCTCGCGCCTGTCGAAATGTGCAGCGAAAACTTGCGCGACCTGGCGGCGAAAACGTGAAACGGAGGAAGGAGGATTAAATTCGCACCGTTGGAGACGCGAATACTTCTCACTGCCGGCAATAGACCGATCACACGAGCGTTCCACGGATGCGTTACGCTGCAGTAACTTTAGTTCAGAGGAGGCCGGCAGCGTCTCGAAACGCCTCGTGCGGTGTCATGCTTTGCACGCGCAGTGCTTCCCTGAGGTTGTCCCAGGGGCGGATTTAGGGGGGGGGGGGCGGGGGGGGCGGCCGCCCCCCCCAAGACAATTCTGAATTTTTTTTTTTTTTTTTTTAGTATTTGGTTTTGGTCAAGTAGCGATTATTTGGTCAGCAAACTAGATCTGTGCTACCGACGCAGGACAGTAGATTCGGCCTTCTGTTTTTCCTTGGCAACGTCTTTGTTATTTAATAAAAAAAATGGAGAGACAGGAGTGGACAAGTTTACCAGACGCGAAATGTACCGGCGAAGGGAAAGCGGTGTTTGTTCAAAGTTCAGAACCTAAGATAGCAGCTTTGCGGCGCGGGCTCGTCCAAAGCGTCTCTCCACCCTGTACGAAGGCGGCGGCTTTGGTATCGAGGCTCCCTCCTCCCTCCGTCCCTCTGTAGAGCCATCCTGTGCCGCTGAATTGGCACCACTGGTTGAAAGGCGAAGAGAGGCGGGAAAAGTCCACTATTACCGCAAGACTCGGATAAAGGGGTGGAGGGGAGGTTGTTCGGTGTCGACGCCCAGCCATGTCTCTCGGGTAGCATGGTCATCTCGCTGGCGTCCAGCCTTTCTCACTTCATAGCAAAATATGTGATCGAAGACGACCATCTCCCGAACAATCGGACCTGAAGACGACGATTATCCCCCCACTTTGGAATCCTGCGAATGGGGATGGGAAACATCTCCAAGGTCTTCAATTGGCTGCTGGACGCTCCCTGGATTGTTTCCCCGCAGACAGCCGGCTCCGTTTAATCTCCCCTCCCGCCACCGTGGCGGATAAGAATCGGGAAAGCACGGAACACACATTGTCGCGTTCCGCCGCCTCGGCGCCAGCCGCAGGTAGAAGTCCGAAGGGTTGACACGTGACGTGAGGGAGAGGAGTCCTTGAGCGGCGCTTCCCCGGAAGCGACTGACGCCAGCCAGACTGGCAAGGCCCCGAGCGTTCGGCTAAGCCTGGGCGAAACCTTCCCCCAAAGTGGTCTTAACGACTGGGAAAATGCTTCGATGACCTTCCCACGCACTCACACACACATGGAGGTGGGACGGGTCATAACAAGGTGTTGTTGAGATGGCGATAGCGAGGTCAACAAGAAATACAAAGAGAGCGCGCATACCAAAGCTCAACTGGTTCATTTTCGCTTCCCGTCTTAGGCGACGGGCATTCCCCTCTCCTCGGCTACGTTCTCCCGAAGCGGGAGGAGCGCAGCAAGGCCACGAGGCAGGGCGAGTTCTCTCGAGCGGTCAGCAACGTAGGTCACCACATTGTACACGCGTGCGTGTGTGGGCTCTGAGTGATGCGCCGCCGGGCCTGAGCGAAGGTAACTCGGGAACGCCAGCGCTCACGTTTCACAAGTTAGGAACGGTCGGTCAGGCTACTTTGAAGGGGAGTCAGTTGGCTAGTTTAGAGCGCCGAGAACAGTGCAGCTCCAAGATCCGCGAGGGAAACCAAACGTGGACTTCTTTACCGTGTTGCACCATTCATCCCTTCTCCGTCGCGGATCGCTGTTTTTCAGTGACGATTGACATGGAAGACGTGGTGACGCGCACGTTCGAGCTTAGTGGCGGCGCTTTCGACCTGTCGTTCACACGTTCACTCCTGGGCAAAACAGTGATTCGGCCGGTAGCGAGAAAGTGCTGTTGACCTCCAGAGACAAAGTGAGCCCAAGGCGGATGAAGTAACCGGGAGTCGAGTTCTGCAGCCGCTACAATGGTGAGTTGCACTTTAGGCCGTAAAATGACGTTGCTCTTTCGACAAATCATAACGAGGCATTTTCTGCACTTCGCTCGCGTATGAGGTGGTTGGTAGCCGTGACCCATGCCGGAAAAGTAATTGACATAGGTAGTAAGGAAAAAAAAAAGCTAAATGAAACGTGTGGACTGTTCGTTTCTTTTCCACCATCCGCAGCGACATAACGAAAACGTCGCGCTGCAGACATTAATTGTTTCCTCCTCTTTCTATGCATAAAAATTAGTCATAGACTGTGTGCGGCGTTTCTTTCGGTCGATGGATAATCAAAATATTTATGCGAAATTTGCTCACTAAATCCTTTCGTGGCGTGGAAAGACACTGATGGTTTTAAGAACCCCCAGCCAACCAGCGTTTGGGACTTGGTATGTTATATTGAGCTATTTTTTCTAATAGATTTTCTTTGTATTTGTGTACGCAGCCTTTACTACTTTCACGTTCTATTTACACTTCGGCTTGAGACGCATAAGATCGCACAGCTGATATTGGTAATTAGTGCTGATTCAGTCACTCGTGGTATTTATAAATTACGTCACTTATGAATGAGTTCTATCTGTTTAGTAAAACAAGTTGTTTTTACATAGAGTGAAGATGGTCCACCAAAGTCGTCCAAGCGGAAAAGTACCACTCTGCATAACTTCTTCCAAGCTGTGCCCAAAAAGATTATCACTGAGGCAGACATTGCAAGCAACGACTCGAAGCTCACTTTGAAGTCTGATGGCGTGGATGAACAACTCAAGATTGAGGCTCTCCCGTCGCCCATGGTCAAGAATTCTGACGGAACTACCCCACTAGATCCAGCCGTCCACACAGTTCGGAATCCAGCGGCTGACTTTGGTTTGCAATATGACATTGGCAACTTCGTTGGGGCGAGGCCAGACGACCACACCGTGGTTGGCTTACTCGAACACCATTGGATGCCACCTCAAGGTTACTCCTTCCCTTTCTCCGAACACAACAAGGGACAGACAGTCGAACGGAGGTACGTCAGAAGTGACCACCTGCTGAAATATCCTTGGCTGGTTGTCTCGGATGCCAAGGCAGGTTTGTTCTGCAAATTTTGTCCTCTTTTTGCCACCGGGCACATGGGGGGTAAACACAAGACAGTTGCCCTTCAGGCTCTTGTAACGGAGCCTTTGAAAAAATTCGCGAAGCTTCTGGGGAAAGATGGAGCTTTGGAAACCCATTCCAAAGCTAGATATCACATCGAAGCAGTGGAAGCGGGCAAGGCTTTTCTGAAAGCTTGTCGCGACCCAGCAAGGGTCGTGGCAAACCAGATCGATACACAGCGAATGCGGCAGGTGTCTGAAAACCGCGCGCGGCTTGTCTCGATTGTCGACAACGTTGTGTTCTTGGCCCGGCAGAATATTGCCTTCCGTGGACATCGGGATGACGGCCCAGTGGTCACTGGGAAGAACGGCAATGACAGTTCAGAGAATGGAGGAAACTTCAAGGAGCTGCTGCGCTTCAGAGTGAAATGTGGTGACCATGCCCTCGAAAAACATCTCTCCACAGCCACAGGAAGGAAGATGTTCACAAGCAAAACAACTCAAAATGCCCTTATTGAATGTTGCGGAGACGAAGTTCTGTCCGTGATCTTGGCACGAGTTCGGCAGAGCAAATATTATGGCATTATGTTCGACGAGACAACCGACGTGGCTCACAAGTCTCAGCTATCTCTTGTTTTGAGGTATGAACATGATTTAAAGATCAGAGAAGATTTTGTGGGTTTCTTAGATCCTCGAGAACTCAAGCCTCAAGATTCAAATCAGAATCGGAATTCGCCCATGTCGGACAGCGGGTCCGACGAGGAAGAGCAAGACGAAGACGACGCACTGGAGCCAACACTGACTGGTACCAAGCTCGGAAAAATCGTGCTAAGTCTACTGAGGTCATTGTCTCTCAACCCCAAAGGCTGTGTAGGCATTGCAACAGACGGATGCTCAGTAATGACTTCCGAGCTCTGCGGTGCCATTCAGGAAATCCAAAAAGTAGCCGTGCATGCAGTTCGATGCCCCTGCTTCAACCATAGCTTGAACCTTTCTATATCCAAAACATCAACTGTGCAAAGTGTCCGAAACACCACCGGGACAATGCGGGAAGTCATTGCGTTTTTTACGGCCTCGCCCAAGCGTAACGCCGTTTTGAAACTCCAGCTTGGCAAACAGCTGACCAAGTTATGCGACACACGTTGGGTCGAACGTCACGACGCTGTTTTGCAGTTTAGAGAGAGCCTGGGAAGCATCGCAAAGGCGTTGGAAACGGTTTCGCAATGGCGAGAACCAAGCTCGGCTGCCAAGGCAAGATCACTGCTTATCTCAATCCTGGATGCCGAATTTGTAATTGCAACCGTAGCTCTCTACGATGTACTCTCAGTCACGCTTCCCCTAAGTCGGCTGCTCCAAAAGCCGGATCTGGAAATGAACAGTGCCTCGGACATCGTAAAAGACACGATCGTCGTCCTGAGCGAAAAGCGGAACCCATTAAACGTCGAGAAGACTTTCAGAGAAATTTTCGCGCATGCAGAAGAAATTGCCGAGAATATGGGAGCGCAACTAGATGTGCCTCGTCTAGTCCAACGACAAATGAGCTGCGAAAAATTGCCTCCACAGACAGCCGAGTCATACTTCCGCGCACATGTATACATTCCTCTTGTGGAATCTGTCGTGGAAGATCTTAAGCAGCGTTTTCCGGAAGAGGTGCTGGAGGTGTACAGCCTCAACACACTTTTGCCTCGCCATGTGAATGAGAAGGGAGCTGAAGCAAAGCTCAGCATCCTGGCGGCAAAATACGGCGTGCTCCTCGGAATGGGGGACGTAGCTTTGCAGACCATCATCAGAGCCGAATTTTCACTGTGGGCGGCGAAATGGAGACGCGAACAAGAGAAGGGGCCTCTTCCATCGACAGCTGTGGAGACACTTGAAGAGTCGGAGCCAGAGCTCTATCCGAACATCAGGACTCTGCTGCGCGTTCTCGCTACACTGCCCGTTAGTGTTGCGACGGCTGAGCGGTCTTTCTCCACCCTTCGTCGAATTAAAACTTGGATTCGATCGCGGTGCGGCGAAAAGAGACTCAACGGTCTTGCCCTCCTCCACGTCCACCGAGACGTGAACGTCGACCAAGAGAAGGTGGTAGACCGCTACGCGCAGGGAGCACGACGAAGGAAGGCGATGTTCGTGCTCTGTAGAACATTTAATTGGATAACTTGTGTAAATAATTATGTCTCTATTTTATCCTCCCCAAATGTAGGTTTTTTTTTTTCTTCATCTCATTAGATAAACATGAATCTGTTTAATAAATAAGTTTAATGTTGCTCCATGCAATTTGTCTAGGCACTGCGCTGAAGACCATTTGAGCTGGCATTTTTGTTTTTTTATTGGTTTCACGGATCCACAAGACCATAAAGAATCGAACAGAGTTTAATTACTCCAACAAAATGCTCACTTTTCTCAAGAACTCTGCATTTTCGAGAGTGAGTCAATAAAATAACAATGCAATTAAGAAGGTATTTTGATCACGTTCGTCCAGGATTTAGAAAGTCTCCATATTATTCGGCCGTCTTACATTTGTCTTGCTAACAAATCCTTTCCTCTCCGGTCTTTGTGGTGTTTTTTTTGTTTTTGTTTTTTTTTTGTCTAAATTGATGTATCTTGTTTGATCGAGTCCCTGCACAAACTCTTTCACACCGGGTGCCTCAATTGCCCGTGTTGCTTAAATGGTTTAGACAAAGAATTTAGAACCATGCATACGTATGTCTTTCTCTATCTCTATTTTTGTTTTTTACCACTTATAGTGCTAACCTTTGAACCACTGAAGCAACAGGTGCGGGTTTATATAAAAGAACAAGAAACTAATACAAATTTGGTGGGAATTTTTAGGCTGTAACAAACGCTAAAACACGATTAATAGTTGCTTTTTGTAGGTGCCTCAAAAATCGCTAGCCCGCGAGCAAAAAAAAAAAAAAATCCTCACCGCCCCCCCCAAACCTTAGCCATAAATCCGCCCCTGGGTTGTCCGTGCAAAAAGAACTTCCCTCGGTGCATTGCGACAACGGCAGCGTAACCAAACTGTCTGGCGATATCGGTCTATTAGATGTCAATGGTACCTCAGTCGCTGACACGAATTTGTTGTTCGCGTACCGTGTCGTAACATTTTTTCTGCCGTAAAAGAAATTGCCGATTCCGCTTAATACGGGCTCTGTACACCCAGGAGGACCCGACTATTGATAATGTTTTGATTTTAGTAACACCAGAAAGTAGAATTTTATTTAAACTTTCGTTACCGACTTTTTTTTTTTTTTTTTAGCCTTGGGGCTAAGCTAAGGGCCATGAAGGCGACTACAAAAGAAGAAAAATTGGTTGGTTGCTTAGCTAATTAACTAAAAAATCTTCAATTAACTTTTTTCAATGTTCGTTGTTAGGGAATAATGTGGTTGAAGAATTGGTGCCTGACCTTATTCCAGAACCATGGCGTGAAATTTCGAATGGAATATGCGCAGTGGGTAACACGGGACGAGAGACATAATGTTTCGGCACGGCTTCAAACTGTAACTACCTAAGCCCGCAAAGAGCGTCCGTGACGTCGATACTTCCCCTCTGTGCTTGCGTCGCACTGTTGACGTCCCCCGCCGCGCGGACACGTAGGTTGTGCTTTGAAAATATAACGATATGCAGTTGGGGTGCTTTAATCTGAAACATTTTCCGGCAGGTAAACAGAACGGCTGAAGATGATCCCTCACACTATATACTTTTCACTTTAGAGCGTGGCAGAAGCTACAAGATTGAGCTGAGGGCTTTCAGCGTCCCTGCCAAGCACGCGCGCTCGTGCTGTGCAAGCACTGTTCAGGGTCACGTGTACCCTCTCCTGACGCGGTTACCTTGCGAACAACAAGTTCGACGGCGTTTGTAATGAGCACGGTGGAAGCTTGAAATCATTGCGCTCTGAAACCTACACTGGCAGCGCCGTCAAAACTGAAGCTCTTACATTCCTCTTATTTCCGTCGATGAGAAATCATTTGCTGACGTCATAGTCAGCATTCAGCCAATCGTGCAAGTCCGACCACTGCGACGCTTTTGATCGCTCATGTTGCGTGTACGTCTCGAGGCGCATATTGTCAGGCAAAAAGAGCCTGAGAGCGAAGGTATGCTTTGAGTGCGCACCACGCGGTGTGCAATGTGGGTCTCTGTTTTCGGAACCTCGGAATGCTGGTTTCGGCCGTCCGTGCTCTGCCGGTTTCGGCCGTCGATTTCTTTGTGTCGGCGTCAGGTTTCCCACGAGGTGGGGGCCCTCCAGCCGCCCCCGCCTCTCCCGGATTTCATTTACCCGCGCGGGGGAGGCATGAGGTTCCCTCCTCTCGGAGAAGAGTCTCCCCCTAATCGTCTTTTTTTGCCTCTTTTCAAGATCCGGAAAAGATGGGCCAGACCACCCGTACCGGTCGAGTTCGTGTAGCTACGAGATCGCGGCGGGACGCAGAGCTTTTGGGGGTCAGGCCTAGGCTTTAACGTTTTTTTGTTTTTTTTATACATTTGTTCTTGGATGCGGCGAAAGGAAAAAGGGATGGGTACGATAGTTCAATAAATGTTTGAATTGCACGAAGCTGTGTCCAAGTGCGGTGACCCGTTTCTATGTTTTAGAGGGGCAACTCGGTAAGTGTAGAGGCGACTGCTAACCTGACGTCTGACGGTCACATCCCGCGGCAGTGATTAATCCGATGCACGTGAGAAAACAACGCCTGGTCATACCGAAACACACCCCACTCAGATTTAGAGAATGTCAATGCTTCTAAACCTAGAGCGGAAGATTTTTTATGGATTCACTTTTTTTGTTCAAGGATGTCCTCGGTAATATATCTCCCGCGGCCGAATATTAAAAACAATTCTAAAACAAAACACCAAAAAAAATACAATTTTGAATTTGGAAGAATTGGTAGACACGTGGCGTTTGCGCTTTTTTTCCTTTCACTCGTCAAGGCTTCAAGGCCAAAAGAAACATGATGTGGTGGTTGGGTCTTTACATATCAACGAAAAATTTTGATCTTCGAAGATTGAAACAACTGTTGAGAAGGTGACTGCTCGCTTGCACCGCTACTATGGTTACGTCACGGTATTGTAACTACTAAGACAAAGTGATTGGAAAGCTGAACACATAAAAGCACTTGAAATTTAGGAAAATTAGTTTAGCATACACAAAAAGAAAAACAAATTAGCTCTCCATACTTTCGCACATTGCCCGAAGTTCAGTGTACCTGCAAGTGTATGTATCAAAATTATTAAGATGATAGTTATTTAACAGAGAAGGCAACGAACAACGGATGCACTCTTTTTCGTAGGTTAGTCGAGCTGTATGTACAGTCCAGTTATTTTTATTTCTTGTATAATAACTAAAGCTTTCTATTTGCAATTGGGCCAAATTACGTATACTATTTATATTATTTTGTTTCGCATTTGTGGTGGACATTCAAAATATATCTATATAGGTTGTAGGTTCTGACCACTCGGGAACGATGAAAGAAAATTGCACTTAGTGTTCCATACGGTCTGTTATAGATGTGCCGTACATATATATACATATATATATATATATATATATATATATATTATTTTTAAATATAAATAAACCTATTGTAATCATCATTCCCGTCATTAGAGGCATCTATTCTGTTGCCATTTTAAGGCAGCAGTGCATCTCGGGAAGAATTGTGGGTTTTCTCCGTAATTGATGGGTATAAGATTTTAGGGCGCTTGTTTGCTTCTAGCTGAGCTCTCTCCCCAAACAAAGCAACACAGCGAGATGATCACTAACGCAGCAAGATATAACTCTTGCCTCAGCAGATGTCTGCGAGGAATTTGTAATAAAGATATTAAGGATGATACGTCCGATATTTAACTAAAATCTTTTGATTCACTTTTTATTCAGTGAAAAAAAAAAAGAAGAAAACTTACGGTTGAAATGAGAAACTTCCAAAGCGTGGAAATCGCGGGGATAATCATTCTCCTTTTCCCAAAGCTAGCTTTGCGCCTTTTGCACAAATGGTCAGTTTGGTGCACCCCCGCGCTTCCTAGCTGCCTCAGCTATTTTTTAAATTTACGAATTTCGTGGTTTTCGATGCCGCTCAGCAAGTTTCTAAATGCAACCATACGCTCATTTTGACTTGAGGTGGCCAAGGTGAACTTTTATTTATTTCTACAAAGCAAAACCATATAAAAAGAAGAAGTTGTTCACTGGACCTGGAGCCGGCCGTTTCAGGGTGCCGAGGCTATCTCGCCGATCGAGTGAGTCTCCAGGAGTGTCTTCTGCGTGCCGCATGCTGGTACCGTTGGTCGTTGTATCAGCCAGGCTCCAATTGTCATCGAGACACAGCCGCTACAGACTCATTAAAAAGTTAGTCGAGAGATTTGGTTAATTATACGACTTATTGTGAAGACTAGCTCACTATATTATGTCTCCTGGACGTATAACTCGTCTGCACAAACCACATATGTAGTTTAACGGATTTTCTTTTTTAAACCAATCTATAGACCTTTTTCGCATAACCTCAAACCAGCCAGTAACTGACGTATCCTCGACCTGGTGCATTTTTTGATTGCCCGCTGACACAGGGTATGCAACCGCCAAGGGTATGGGCGAAAAGGCTTAAAAACAGATGTCGTGCATGAGTTAGTTCCGAGTGCTCCTTTTTACCGTGCTGCAATTTCCGAAAATCTACGGTTGTCTGGCTACCACTGCGTGGTTGATGGATAAATAATTTTAAAAAGCATAAGAACAATAGCAGCAAGTGTGCCATGAGCACAAGAATCTGCAGCGCGAGTGTGGCTGCAATGTTATCGAGCTTCGCATTTTCCCCAAGAATCCTTATTTATGAAGTCAGTCGATTGCGAGCTTGAATCGCGAGAGATTCGTATCAGAATCAACGTCACGTTTAAGCTCACGACCACTTCGTCTACGACAAGAGGACCGATTTTAATTCCCGGTGCAAGTGGTCCAATTAATTTATCACTGCAAGCCCCATGGTATGTGAAAGGTATGAAAATGTCTATCATGCCACCACTCAAGATGGAGCCATCAAATGTCGAGAGCTTACCTGCATAGGCTACATTAAACTGCTCGTATATAGTTCGCTGTGGAAACTCAATCAAAACACCCCACCGTCTTTGTCCTCGTTCTCTCGAGAAGGCAAGGTGGAAGCAGCCAGCTGGGTTCAACCGGACCAGAGCCTTTTATTCTGGGAGAGTTCGGCGGGTGGGAGGGGCTTACGGCCCGCTAGGTCTAGCGGACTCAGCGGGCGCCGCTTCCGCCATGATGTGCCTTTCGGCGAGTGGGTCCCCATGGACATGCGATGTATACGCGTGTAGGTTTTGCCGTTTGCGCTCTTGTTGGCGTAAGGAGAAAGTCGAAAAATCAAGCATTTTGTTACGTTAATCATACGTTAATCATAAACTTACCTCGCACAATCGAGAACTCGGCTTCCAGTCAGCCCTTCTTGGTTTCCCAGATCTTGTGCCTTGCGCAGTTTTCTTTTCCTTGCGGGAACCGGTACATCCTGAACCCCTTTTTCGCGTTGTTCGAGCACCCAACGGCACTGCAGCCGCCCATTTCTTTTTCATCTAACGTCTGGCAGAGCGCAGCGCAGAACGATCATTTTCATCGTCGTCTCTCGCTCCATGGACTCTAGCGAGCCGACTGCCGGCTCGAGTCAGTAGGGCAAACGGGTTTTATCTGCCGCCACCAGCCTTACACCAAACAAGGGTGAAGCTTGCAATTTAAGGTTATAATTATAATGCAATTAAATGCAAAGGTGAAATCAAGCTAGACGGCAAGGCACATCATGGCGGATGCGCACAGTTGCCAGACTGTTTGATCAGTGCTGCCAGACTGGCGGCTGGATCAAAGAACCGCCGAACTCTCCCAGTATAAAAGGCTCTGAACCGGACAAGCTCAAACCAAGTTATTGCAGCCACCATAGCCAAGTCTAGCCAAGTTCCCCCCATACAAACACCGTTGCCTTCCCAGATAGCTGTGCTGCCAGAACTAGCCGGTATTTCTTTTTCTAAGCCGCTAGACGGCGTCGTCGGCGCCGCAATTCTGAAAAGGTCTATACCAATGTGTATATTTTCCCTAGAAATGAGCCTTCCTAGAAATTCTCGAGAAATATATTCCTCTGCATTGCAAATTTCACCAAGCTTCTAATCCTGTATTCTTTTGTGTCCTTCGGCGTAAATAAAAAAGACAAAAGAGTGACGTCATTGTCAATTACGGATGTCACAGTATTCGCTCCATGAAGAAACAAAGTTGTTTAACGAGATCCTCGCCATTTGTAGCGATTTTGACACAACAATTATCCTGTTTCGGTATGATACTGTATAAAGTGCGACAGAGTTAGCACGAACACAATGTCAGTGATTTTCCTGTCATTAGCCGAGCTGAAATACTGTAATCAAATCTACCCTTAAGCGTGGTCATCGGGCACACCGAGGTAGGTGGTACACTGACTTTCCACATTCTTCTACATTATAAAAATTAGGAAAAGCGTCGATGTGGTGTAGGCACCATTGAACGCTTAACAGACAGATGATATTCGACGGTTTCATAGCGAAAAGTCGCAGTTAATACACTCTCACCGTTTAGTTCGAAATTTAAACGTCACGATAGAATTTATGTGAAATCGCTCGTTAAAACAGAAAAAAATATACTTTTACCTGTTCGCTTCTAGACTGTGAACGAAGAC